AGAAACAGAATATCTCTTAATGTGATCAGGTCCTAGGAATATTACTAAGTCCTCCAAGGCAATTTCATAGTAATTTCTGGCAAAAGCACAGCATAGAATGCTTTTGAGGACCTGGTAAATTCTGATAGATGATTTTTATGTGGCTATGTTTAGGTGAAACTGTGCATTACTGGTCAGAATTCTATTACAGAATCTGCACACCTATGTTTCCCTTACATATGCAGATGTCCTGTTTGTGCACTGCCGTGGTTGATATTCTCTTCCCCCTTCACAGTGCCCAAAACCTCCTCCTCTGTAACTTCTTGAAAAACCCCATAAGCTGCCCCACATATTCCCATAATATCCCACATATTCCCATCTATTCCCATTAGATGCAAAATGATGTCATTGCTAAAATAATCCTGGATTGTTTCATGTCTGGTCATGGAGACATAGGTGGATGCTTCTCTGAGCCTGCCTACTCACTGCGAAGAACAGAATAGCCATGTAAGGTGGCTTCAGAGGCGTATCAGTAAGTTTATGGAAGACATATGCCTCAATGTATCCTGGGTATGCATGCAGATATTTATGCTATATTGAGCATTGAGGTCAGTGACTGACCTAGTTTTTGAGAGAAGCCACCTTCTCCCTTATTCTTATATATTTTTTGTCATAAATATGTGATTTTGGGATTCTCAACATGGATAGAATCCTGTATCATAATTGGAATAAAGAAAGCTGCCAAATTGGCCATCTTCTACTCAATGCACTTCTTATTTAGCACTTGTTACATTAAGAAGGCTTCAATAATTGCAAGAAACTTTAAACTGGAGTCAAATGAGCCACAAAGCAAAAGTAGTATTGTTCAACATGAAGTCTGCAAACAGATAAGACAGAAGGAAATAGTTTTCCAGTGTCAACATGAATGTACTTTCTACTTGAAGGAAATGTTTCTGTACATCAGATTTGTAAAGATGGTTTACATGCCTGTGGTATGCTATTATCCGGTGACAGCACACTGATATTAAGAAAATTCCCTATGCTCCTTTCTTGTAAGACAAGAAAATACAATTTTCTGTCTGCATCCAGTGCTTTGTGGTGTTGCTCTGACCCCTAGCACCTTATGGATATGCCTTTTTCATTTTCTAGTTCCAGTACAGGTAGCAGTGACCCTGAAAGTGTAGGAATAAAAACATCAATTTTTCACTAGTGTTGGGGGATGAGATGAAACACCAAGTATTCCTCATAGATGAGTAATATCTGTAAGGTATAGAGATGAAAAGATATTATGTGGAGACAAAAATATAAAAAACTGAGACCAAAGTTTTATTAGTTTGTTCAAGCACTGTTGTAGTACACTTGAGCCTTAATAATTGACAGAGGGTTAAACCAATTTGCCAGCTCAGATATCATGGTAAAATGTGGCTTAACAAAGGGTACGTCCACACTGTAAAATTAATGCTATTTGACACTACTCATGAGAGTTATAAAGAACTACAAATCCCATGATGCCATATCATTGAGCCATGACAGGTGGAGTTATGTCAAAATGTATTAGTTCTATAGTGTAGATGTATTTTCTGAAACTCAACCCACAATGGAGATAGCACTCTGACTACCTTATCAGATGGGATGAGTTGCCTGCCATATGCTGCTTCACTTACCTTTTAAGCACAGACTGAGCCCTTCACATGATGTAAAGGGACTTCTGGCCGGACTCCGTACTGAAAAGGGAGGTAAAGTAGCATCTGCCACCACCGCAACAAGAGCCTTCACATGTTGTCTTTCCTTCAATGGGAGGAAGCCAGGCAGTGATGCTTTCCCCCATGAGATGAGGAAAATGTAAGGCAGGTGATGCAGGGCATGGAGTGGCAGCTTCTCCACATCCCCATCGAGAGTCTATGGATTGGCTCTGATTTGGGGCAAATTCAGTTGTCTGTCTGGAATGATCCGGTATGTTTGTATTATCTACTACCAGTTCAAATTGATGATGATCAAAACCCAAGAAGCCTAGTAGGATTTAAGTCTCTCTCATTATGCTTTACTAGTTCTCCAGTGAGGTTGAGAATGTTTGTTCTTCTTCATCGTTTCCCTGTGTGTAGCTTCATGCCATGATCCAGTGTTGGATTTTAGATTTGTAGCCTTGTGCATCCATGATAGAAGGATAGTCTCGACATTCACTGTAAATGTGTTTTTCTTCTTGAAATGTTGAATTTGAGCTGGAACAGTCCTTGCTCACACCCAACATCAGTTAGTGCCAGAGGAATACAACTGTACCCCAGAGTCTCCCAGTTACTCTTGTGCAGGATATGGCTTGTTGTATAAGGAGGTAATGAATACCTTCTTCCACAATACTCTCATAAGAACCTTCTCTGGTGTCATTAACAAAAGTGGGATGTCATCAACAGGATTTTTATTAAAGCAGGTCATTTCTCCAGAGGTTGTTTAGCAATCAGTAATCAAGCAGGGACATCTCATTTGTGAAGTAGCCCACTCTATGAGAAACTGTCTTACACATGAAGAGGATGAAATCATAATGAATTAGGAAACTGACTTTTTAAAAAGGTATTGTGTGAGGGAATGATTGTGCAGAAGTTCTTTCTTTGGAAACTGTCACTTTCCTTAAAATGTGATGGAAAAATTAAACCTTGATAGGTGCTTGATCTTGTCAATACATCTTTGCAATAATAACAAAGACAATCTGCAGCTTTTACTTTGAGATATATTAAAAATAACTATTTATTTCCACCAGCAGTGAATGTGTAGTCTTAAATTGGATGTGAAAATGGAGGGGTTTTTTTGTTCTCATTTTTAAAACTCCTAGCAAATTACTTTGACATGTTACATACTAACATTCTTCAAACTGGCACCTTTCAGGTATGCTGCCATCCATGCTAGTTGGAGATGGTTAGAGTTGTAGTCCAACACATCCATATAACCTCATGGGAAGGCTGCTGTATGTATGTTTTCTCCAAATGGATCAATGTGATGCATTTTTTTTTTGCACTTAGCATTTTTGTTTTCATTTGAAAACCTTTCATTTTTAGAGTGCCGTGTGTGGGGAAACCAAGGACATTGCTCAAGCTTTTGGCTAACCTCTAAACCTTGCATCTGTAGATGTTTCTCTTTAAAAGAATTACAAAAATAAAATAATTCAATTGTGTACAACAGGCTTTGCAATAATCCCTTTCTTGTTCTCCCTTTGGGCATTTAAAATGCCTCAGTCTTTCCTAGATTTGTTTGTTTGCTTGCTTGTTTGCTTGTTTTTAGTTCTTATCTAGAAAATGAAATCTCTTTTTTGCCAACTGCATTTAAGAAAAAGCAGACAATCTCAGCAAGTGCCAAAGATTCAAATACAGATGCAGATTGCTTCGACTGATAAAAACCAAGTAACAAAGTCAAGACCCTTGAGATTCAAACAAAAAAATTAAAATGGCATAATTTTGATTCTGTTGGTCAGTGCCAAAAACAATAGCTTTAAACAATGGTTGTGTGGGGAGACAACACATGGGTTAGTTCAAATAATTTGATGGCTCTCCTCTAATTGAAAAAAAGATGACCCAAACAACTACCATCCAGTCAGCCTCATGTCGATACCAGGCAAGATTCTGGAAAAGATTGTTAAAGAAGTGGTCTGCAAACACTTAAAAACTAATGTGGTCATCGCTAATAGTCAACATAGATTTATCAAAAACAAGTCATGCCAGACTCATCTGATCTCTTTTTTTGATAGAGTTACAAGCTGGGTAGATGAGGGGGAATGCCGTGGATGTAGCGTATCTGGATTTCAGTAAGGCCTTCAACAAGGTCCCCCATGACCTTCTGGCAAACAAGCTAGTCAAATGTGGACTAGGAAAAATATGGTTAGGTTTATCTGTAATTTGTTAAATGAACGAACTCAATGCTTCCTCTTCATCCTGGGAAGAAGTGATGAGTGGAGTGTCGCAGGGTTCTGTCCTGGGCACAGTCTTGTTCAACATCTTTATTAATGTCTTAGATGAAGGATTAGAAGGCATGATCATCAAGTTTGCAGATGACACCAAATTGGGAGGGATAGCCAATACTCCAGAATACAGGAGCAGAATTCAAAATGATCTAAACAGATTAGAGAGATTGGCCAAAAATAAGAAAGTGAACTTCACCAGAGACAAATGCAAGATATTCCACTTAGGCAGAAAAAATGAAATGCAAGATACAGAATGGGGGTGCCTGGCTTGAGAGCAGTACGTGTGAAAAAGATATTGGAGTCTTCGTGGACAACAAGTTAAACATGAGCCAACAATGTTATGCGGCAGCTAAAAAAAGCCAATGGGATTTTGGCCTGCATAAATAGGAGTATAGTGTCTAGTTCCAGGGAAGTCATGCTACCCCTCTATTCTGCCTTAGTTACACAACACCTGGTATATTGTGTCCAATTCTGAGCACCACAATTGAAGAGAGATATTTCTTCAAACTACAGGAAAGGAGATTCCTCCTGAACATTAGGAAGAACTTTCTGATCGTGAAAGCTGTTCAGCAGTGGAAGTCTCTGCCCCGAAGTGTAGTGGAGGCTCCTTCTACTGAGGCTTTTAAACAGAGGCTGGATAGCCATCTGTTGGGGTGCTTTGAACGTGATTGTCCTGCTTCTTGGCAGGGGGTTGGACGGGATGGCCCATGAGGTCTCTTTCAACTCTATGATTCTATGATTTACTAATAATTAATCAGCATTTGCAAGGCTCACTAAATAGGCTGATTTCCCTTTTTGTGAAGTACAGCTGAAGCATCTTCTGCAGAGTCCACTGCAAATACTGCATATTGTTACTAACGGATTTGCGTAAATGAGTAGTATTGAGAAACTATTTACTGTTGCCAACATTTGTGACCCCAACATTGAGCTATGGAAAACCCATTTCTGGTTGGGACCCACAGCTTAAGGAGCAGTGATCTAGATGATGAATGGTCCTTAAATAGGAACAGTTGATGGTGATAAAGCCTCAGAAATCATTTATCCCTTTGTTTGAAAATCTTCTTTTTTCTTTCAGCTTCACTCTGACCAGGACAAAGGAGATGGTTCACTTAAATACATCCTTTCTGGAGATGGAGCAGGAGACCTTTTCATTATCAATGAAAACACTGGGGATATACAGGCTACAAGGAGACTTGACAGGGAAGAGAAGCCGGTTTATATTCTTCGAGCTCAGGCTATCAATAAAAGGACTGGAAGACCAGTGGAGCCAGAGTCAGAGTTCGTCATTAAGATCCATGACATCAATGACAATGAGCCACTGTTTACAAAGGACATTTACAATGCTAGTGTCCCAGAAATGTCTGATGTAGGTAAGTATCAGATCAGTCAACTTTGCAGAAATTGGTTTTGTATTAGATGGTATGCAGGCAATTATGAATGTGATAGGTTTCGTCAAAGAATTATACGTAGGTCTATTAAGCAATATTATTGACATGTCTAACTTAATAGTTAGAGATAAATAAGGCTATTGGGAGATGACAGGAGGCACATCTGCACTGGCCACAAATCATGATACTGATCTGGAGTGGGGTACTCCATATCACTATCACCAGAGTCTGCATGGTAAGCTGTCAAACCAGCATAGTGGCTAGATGACAATCATATCACTAGCAGCATTGGAACAAGTTTGGGCCACTGAACCACCACACTTGTGCCCATGATAACCAGAGAGATGAAGCAACATGAGAGAGGAATTGGTGAAAGAGAAGAATCTCTCCCTTCTTTCATTCATCTCATCTCTGATTGTCTCTCATCACTCTGGCTGTGCAAAACCTACCTAGATTGACAGTTACAGGTTCAATTATTTCATTCTCACAATTGAGGATTAATAATTTCCAGTTTTTTCCCTTTCTATAGAGAAAGTAAGTATTTCTTCAAACATCCCAAAATGTTTCAGGACCTTATTCTGCACTAAAAAAGATGTAAGGTGTTTGTTTGTTTTGTTTTGTTTTTTTTTGGGGGGGGGGGGGTTGCATGAGAATTGTGGAGGTTGCAGAAAAAAATGCTATTTTCTGGCAGAAAACAGCCATTATACAGTATGGCAATATGGGTTATCTTTTTTTCAAGACTGCTGGGTTTTGCACAAGATTATTTGTCATGTGTTGTTAAAGATTTTTGTTTGTGTAAAAATGGCAATCTTGGACAAAACAAATGTATCTAAAATTACTTTTTTGTTTCAATTATTATTATTATTATTATTATTATTATTATTATTATTATTATTTATACCCTGCTTTATCTCCCCCAAAGGAAATGAAGAATTACATCCCTTCAATCCACATATTCTATGTTTATAAAGAAAATTCTAGATAAGATAAAATTATTTTAAAATGCATGATTATTTGTTTTGTCTTTGGTTTTAGTATATTTATTTATACCCCTTTCCCCCAAAAGTTGGGTTCATGATTTAAAAGGACAGAACAATCAAAACCATGTCAAAAGAAAAACATTAAAGGAGAATTAAACTATTATTTTCTACTCTCCTCTCTTTTCTGTTTCTACAGAAACTAATTTTATTGATTTTAAGAAATAATTGGAGACTTGAGACCAAATCAGACATGGCTTTGCCATATCATTGTGCAAGGAGTATCCTATGTACAAAGCCAGTTCCAATACCCAATCTCTGCATTAACTATTTGGAGAGAGAGAGAGAGAGAGAACACAATGCAGGGACAAAGAAAAAACATGAGAAATATGTCTACTTTGATCCCAGGATAACATTTAGGGAGAACAATAAGTACCATTGTCGCCTCCATGTTTCATGAAGACTACCACATGTTTTTCACATATATAAGTTGAGCAGGGTACATTTTTTCCATGTCAGGAGCGACTTGAGAACCTACAAGTCGCTTCTGGTGTGAAAGAATTGACTGTCTGCAAGGATGTTGCCCAGGGGACACCCGGTTGTTTTGATGTTTTACCATCCTTGTGGGAGGCTTCTCTCATGTCCCCTCATGGGGAGCTGGAGCTGACAGAGGGAGCTCATCGATGCTTTCCCCGGATTCGAATCTCCGACCTGTACATAAGCAGGGTACATAATCCAATACAAATATTGTCATGTGAATGAAATACGCTGATGTAAATCTTGATCTAACTCCCATCTTGATCTAACTATTTCTAGCCTCTGCCCCCTCTAAAAAGAAATCCTTTTGAAATTGTACCTATTTTAGAAACTCCAGGTAATGAGTGCATGCATCTGGCTTGAAGGAAGAGTGACAGTTTTAAATGATGGGCTTTCTCTAAATAGTATATATTTCTCTATATTTTATGACTGCAGGTACATTTGTCGTGCAAGTCACAGCAACCGATGCCGATGACCCTACATACGGGAACAGCGCAAGAGTGGTCTACAGCATTCTCCAGGGGCAGCCATATTTTTCTGTTGAGTCTGAATCAGGTCAGGGGACCTTATTCTGTCATTCTCTGACAAACTCCGTAATTTAAAATGACATTCTAAGTCAAGCTAGGAAATAGTAGGCAAATTCTGCAAAACAAAATCCATCTGAGATTGTGCGGAATGCCAAATAAATGCTATATCGATGAACATAACCTATGGTATTTTAATCGGAGGGCGTTAAAACCAAGTAAGATGGATCTTCATGGCCCTGTTTTAAACCCATTTTCATAAAAAATGTGGGGCATATTTAAGATTCCTTCATCAAAAACAATATTTTTAAAGGTTTTGTGGGGGAAAGAAAAGAAATGCGACAAGGCAGGTAGTTTCACAGCCCACATCCTGGTAGGCAGATGGTCAAGCATCTCCAGTTAGATTTAGAGATGGGCAAACTCAATCAGTTCTCTTCCTTTCCAGATTCAAACTTTAAAAACCTCAAGTTCTTTTGTTAAAAATGGCAATTGTGTGGAATCCCCCCCCCCCCGCCGCCACAAAGTCAACTTTAATGCAATTCTCTCCCATTTGGATCAACCAAATCTAATACCTACAGCTATTCTCAGTGTGGAGAGGAGCATGCTCTACATATGTTCAAGCTAAGAGTTTTTCAGCTGAAAGAGAGAGAAAGAGGGAGAAGGGACAACGTGAATTCACCCCAAAAGACAAGTAAAATGCAATACAATTTTGTGGCCTTAAATGCTGTATACCATTCTTACCCTCCTTTTTCCTTTACTGAGGAATATCAAGTCAGCATTTGAAGAATAATAAGCATTTTTGGGAGCCTCCGGTGATGCAGTAAACCACTGCTCTGGTAAACCACTGAGCTACTGAACTTGTTGATCAAAAGATCAGTGGTTTGAATCCAGGAACCCGGGTGAGCTCCCACTGTTAGCCCCAGCTTCTGCCAACCTAGCAGTTCGAAAACATGCAAATGTGAGTATATCACCAAGTACTGCTTCAGTGGGAAGGTAATGGCACTCCATGCAGTCATGCCAGCCACATGAGCTTGGAGGTGTCTATGGACAATGCCAGTTCTTCGGCTTAGAAATGGAGATAAGCACCACCTCCCAGAGTCGGACACGACTAGAATTAATGTCACGGGGAAACCTTTACCTTTACTTAAGAATGTTCAGTCCTAATTGATTTTATGGTATCCCCAGCACAATCTAAATTGAATCCAGGAAATAACCACATCCTGGCAGGAAAATCACCTCCCACCTACTCATTTACCATTAACTACTATGCCCAATGACACAATGAAGGAATCCAGCTTGGAGGGTCACACACCTATAAGTCTAGTTTTTCTGTAGAACATTGGAGTAAAATGCAAGGTGTATTGAAATGGCTTAAAGTCATAGAATCATGGAGTTGGAAGAGACCTCATGGTCCATCCAGTCCATTCCCCTGCCAAGAAGCAGGAAAATTGCATTCAAAGTACCCCTGACAGATGGCCATCCAGCCTTTGTTTAAAAGCTTCCAAAGAAGGAGCCTCCACCACACTTGGCAGAGAGTTCCACTGCTGGACAGCTCTCACAGTCAGGAAGTTCTTCCTAATGTTCAGATGGAATCTACTTTCCTGTAGCTTGAAGCCATTGTTCCGCGTCCTAGTCTCCAAGGCAGCAGAAAACAAGTTTGCTCCCTCCTCCCTATTACTTCCTCTCATGTATTTGTACATGGCTATCATGTCTCCTCTCAGCCTTCTCTTCTTCAGAGTAAACACCCCCAGCTCTTTAAGCCACTCCTCATAGGGCTTGTTCTCCAGACCCTTGATCATTTTAGTCACACACACCCCCTCTGGACACATTCCAGCTTGTCAACATCTCCCTTCAATTGTGGTGCCCAGAATTGGACACAGTATTCCAGGTGTGGTCTAACCAAGGCAGAATAGAGGGGTAGCATGACTTCCCTGGATCTAGACACTATGCTCCTATTGATGCAGGCCAAAATCCCATTGGCTTTTTTTGCCGCCTGCATCACATTGTTGGCTCATGTTTAACTTGTTGTCCACAAGGACTCCAAGATCTTTTTCACACGCACTGCTCTCGAACCACACATCCCCAGTTCTGTAACTTTGCATTTCATTTTTTTCTGCCTAAGTGGAGTATCTTGCAAAAATGGAGTATCTTCCAAAAACTTTATGTGTCAATCAGAGCATTTATGAGGTAGCCCATGTAGTTTTTTAGTCCATATCTTGGAGTGATAGGTAATCAAGTCTACAAAGACAATCAAAATCTCTAATTAGAGATTAATGGAGTGTGCTATTGTCTCCTGCCCAACATGGTTTTTCACTTCTCTTCCATCACAATTTTCTATTTTTGGATACATAGAAAGGCTACTTAGACGTTTGTTACGTTTCAGTGAGTCCAGTTCATGTTTGACTACCATATATTGAAGGAAACCCTTCTGAAACTGGCCCCATTGCTTTTGACCAGACTTGTCAAAATAAAACCTGAATAAAATCTGGATGTGGGAAAAGACAGAGATACACAAACACAAGAGAAAGGAAGCAGCAAGGGGATAGGATTTATGTTGCTTTCAAGAACCCAAAAGATTCTAGCATGAGATTAATAGGCTGATAAAAGAATACGAGGAAACATTAACACATGCAGACAGCTGGAACGTTTTTCTTCCTCTGTAGTGGCTCTTGCTGACTTGGTGCCAGTTGGCAGGCAATAGCACCAGATATAATCAGGCAAGGCTGTAAATTAGTGCAGCAATTCAGCAAGAGTTAAATACTTACTGCAAGGTAACTGCAGTCATTGCCTAGTGACTGTAGTCAAGAGGATAAGATTGAGAGGTAAATTTATTCTGCAACATTTCTAGGTTGCTTTTCTACTTCGTACAAATAAAAACCAAAACTTTTTGTCATAAAAAGTATAGAATACTGCCCAAACTTTTAATTATGTCATGGAAGATGAACAAATACCTGAAATGGCTGGAAAAATAAAGAAGTCTTTTTTAAACAAGCATATTTTCATGGATCTCAGAACAGGAGGGCAGTGAGGCTTAACTCTTTCTAAGCCTAGGCTGGGGAAAGGTCTAAGACCCCCATGAATTGAGCCCTGGTGACCTACCAGTCAGAAGTGTCCTTATTTACAACCATCTTTTAATTTGCTTAATGAAGTGTTCTATACTTTCCTCTCTCCTTGATGTATTAGTTTTAGCTTCAAACAATTTTATATTATTTCCTTTTTATTTTGGTAGTCTTATAGTTAACCACTTTTGTTAGTGGTAATTATGAAGAATCATTTATTATTTTGGTAGTCTCAAGGTTAACCACTATTCTTAGTACTTACTTACATAGGTGATCCCTCGTAGTCGAGGATGATGGTCCTCCAAGTGTAGTATCCTGGCAGTGGGTCCATAGGTGATTGACCCCCACCCCCACAGGGGTTGAGAAGGGCGGGATAAAAATGCTGTAAATAAATAAATAAATAAAATCTGCATCTTCTCCCACAGTGAGGGCATCGGTTTCCAGGTGGAAGGCGGTCCCGGTTGGGGTTGGCTTGACGTGCTTTTCTCTTAGCATGTTTCTCTCTATCACCCTCCATTCATGCCTCTTCCAATTCTGCAGCACTGCTGGTCACAGCTGACCTCCAACTGGAGCTCTCAAGGGCCAGGGCTTCCCTGTTCTCAGTGTCTATGCCAGAGTTTTTAAGGTTGGCTTTGAGCCCGTCTTTAAATCTCTTTTCCTGTCCTCCAACATTCTGTTTTCCATTCTTGAGTTTGGAATAGAGCAACTGCTTTGGGAGACGGTGGTCGGGCATCCGGACAACATGGCCGGTCCAGCGGAGTTGATGGCGGAGGACCATCGCTTCAGTGCTGGTGGTCTTTGCTGCTTCCAGCACGCTGACATTTGTCCGCTTGTCTCCCCAAGAGATTTGCAGGATTTTTCGGAGGCAGCACTGATGGAATCGTTCCAGGAGTTGCATGTGACGTCTGTAGACTGTCCACGTCTCACAGGCGTACAGCAGGGTTGGGAGGACAATAGCTTTATAAACAAGCACCTTGGTATCCCTACAGATGTCCCGGTCCTCAAACACTTTCTCTCTTTTGTTAGTGGTATTATTATGAAGATCCACTATATTCTGTGTTTTTATGTTTTGTCCAAATGCAAGTCTGCAAAATGCATAATGACCTGCCTGCCAGTCTTGAGCCCTCCTCTGGGATCCATGTATATTTTAATTCCCATTGAAAGCTGCATAAAGGGAATATGCCAGAGACTCATAAAATAAGGAAATGTCAGAGCTGGAGCATTTCAACAGATTACTAATGCCTTTGTTATGCTTGGACGTTGGTTGCATATCTAGTAGAGCTCCCAGAAAAATGCATAGAGTGATGTGCAGTTGCCTGTAAAGGATCGTGGGGGTCTTGAAACTATTAATCCCACAATATAAAATTGCATAGCTACTCTGCTAAAGAAAAAGTGAGTAACTGCTTGCTTACAATATATTGGCATCTCCAAAAGGGAGATCTGGAAAAGTAACCCATCCACTGATAACTGACTCCAAAGGGAAGGTATGAGCACAATAACATTTTGCTACCTGAGAAGGATAGGCTGAAGCTGCCATCAAACTTCAAGTCAAAGTACATGGTACCTGAAATCACTTTAATCGCTTTACAATTGTAGTTCCACAATTACATTTTAAGTGCCATTTTTACATCCTGTGGGATCCTAGAACTTGTGGTTTGTCAAGGCACTAGGGCTCTTTGACAATTGTATGCTACCTAACCTGCAAATCCCAGGAAGTTGCCTTGCCAGCTAAAGAGGAATTAGAGCACTATAGTTGTTTAATTTCACAAGGGCCAAGGTTTAAGAGGGGGAAAAACTCACAAGCTCCTTTCCCATCAGTGAGAGTAAAAAAACAATGCAACAATAATATAAGTAAATAATTATAAGTAAATAAAGACACCCAGATCTAAGGCTGCAAGGAGGTTCTTGAAGTGGGGTATATGCCATTGACTTCCATTGAGTAAATACTGTACTTATTGGGTATTTTTTCAATTCCAGGTATCATCAAAACAGCTTTGCTGAACATGGATAGAGAAAACAGGGAGCAATACCAAGTGGTCATCCAGGCCAAAGACATGGGCGGACAGATGGGCGGATTATCAGGAACCACCACAGTGAACATCACGCTGACTGATGTCAATGACAACCCACCTCACTTCCCTCAAAGTAAGGAAGATATCATTATTCTGATTTCCTTAGTTAAAGTCACTTTAATTAGATGATGTGAAGTGAGGGAATTAACTCAATGATGTGAACTGAGTGAATCAAAGTGGAGAAGGCAGTTATTAAGTAGATTTTTTTCCTTTTATTCTCTTGGTAGAGGGTGCTATATTTCAAAGAGCAAACGAATTTCATGACAATCTCCATTGATATCTCCTTAGTAAATTCCAAAAAATCCAGAAAGCTGGGTTGACTGGAATACCCATACCCAGAGCAGAAGAATAACCTCAGCAAGTGGCAGATGACAGCAGTATCCTGTTACTCAAAAAGGCACAGCTCTTTAACCCTACATACTCTGATTCCACTATAATATGTTGGGGATGACACAAAACCATGCAACTGTATGGGGAAAATACTCAATGTGAGGACAGTAAATATAGAATTTAAGCTTCTTGGAAATCACATCTTTTCATTAAACATAGAAAACACATTTCCAGTCCTTATGTTTGCAAATTTATTATTTATTTACTTTATTTGTATACCGCTCTTCTCAGCCCTTAGGCGACTCAGAGCAGTTAACAACACAGTTTCAATATACATAGTACAAAATCAATTGGACATTTAAAGCAATAGTAAACAATTAATTAAACAACAAACATCAACATCAATATCAATATAACAAATCCATCACGTCTCATCGATAGAATCAGAATCCAGACTCATTCCGTGTTCCAATAATCAATTGCACTGCCTAGTCGAATGCCTGTTCGAAAAACCAGGTCTTCAATTTCCTCCGGAATGCCAACAGGGAGGGGGTCGATCTGATCTCTGTAGGAAGGGTGTTCCACAGCCGAGGGGCCACCATTGAGAAAGCCCTGTCTCTCGTCCCTGCCAGGTGCGCTTGTGAAGCTGGCGGGATCGAGAGAAGGGCCTCCCCAGATGATCTTAATGTCCTAACTGGTTCATAGGAGGAGATACGTTCGGACAGGTAGCAAACCAACGCTTGAAATAGTAGGAGTAAAGTTGTATGAAATTTGATTAAGAAGCCCCCCCCCCCAATATTTTTTTTTATGATCATATGCAAGACAAAACAGTGAATTATAGATAATAATGTTGATTTGTAATTTATCGTTCTAGGAAACATGTCTGTTCTTTGTTATCTTACTACAGAATTTCAATATTCCTCTCCCTTCCCAGAGGAAACTACAACCCTTCTAATTTTTTCTTCTTGTCATTAAAGATACTGATTAGTTCCAAAAAGCTTTCTGTGGATGACAATTGGCAATTACGTCTAAGCTGGTTTCTCTTCACCTCTGTCTAGTGCCTTTGGTTTTATAATGCATGATTTAAATGAGTCAAAAGAAACTGCACAGAGATCAATTGAGTTACAATGGGAAGAAAATTAGTCCAGTTGTAATTCTGCATGTATTATGGATATTTCTGTGTACTTTCTTTTCAGTGGCAATTGGTGTCTGCTGAGGGTGATGGGTCACAGGGCAAGGTCACCCTAGATGGAGCCAGCTATTGAATACACATTTTCTACCAAGAGAAAACTGTGGTGCATGAACCTTAAGAGCATGAATGCCAAGCTGGTGGGAGCATTCTTACAAAAACACTACTTTGGACCTGTGTTTCCCAATTTGAGCAACAATTCCCATTACACAGAATAGCAAGTGACTTGCTTGCAGTGAATGCAATGCAATACAAGGAGTCCCCATAGCTACACAAATAAAAAAGAGTAGTGGTGATATCAATGACCTATTCCGGCCCATTACAAAAATAAACAATAAGAACATGCCTCCAGAACTGAGGGCCCTTCCAAAAATGTGGGGCTGTCATGTTTATACCTGAGACAATGCTTCAGGTAAAGCAATGCCTAAAGTAAAAGTGAATTAATTTGGAACAAAGCAGGGTATCTAATCAATTCAGAATGGGGTATCTAATCKATTCAGAACAAAGCAGGGTTTCCCTGCTTTGTCCTGAATGGATTAGATACCCCATTAGATCCGGGCCTTTCTGAAATGCCTGGGTCTAATCAGGTATTGCGCCTGTGGGGGGGGGGGACTCACACCTAGGTCATCCTGGGTTGACCTGGGAATGAATCCCCATTATCATCTTGCACCTTTTGGGCTCCTGGAGCCTAAAAATGCAAGATGACACCCCAAATCCCCAAAACTACCCTTAAAATTWAAAAAAAGACTTACCAGGCCACCCTTAAGGTGGTCCTAGAGTCCTTCTGGCACATAGAAATGACATGCCAGGAGACAGAGAGGGTAAGAAGCTATTTACCTTCTCTACCTACCCCCCCCCCCCTTTCCTGACACATTTCTACATGTCAGGAGGACTCAAGGACATCCGTAATGGTGGCCTGCTATGTTTTCTTTAATTTTAAGGGTTATTTTGGGGGGCTTCAGGGTGGCTAGGTGCCATCTTGGTAGTTACTGGGATGGCAATTAGACACACACACAGGAAAGCCTGGTCTTTTTTGTGGAGATGAACTTAAATGGGTTTGACTTATGTCTGGAAGCCTCCTGAGACTGGAAACACCCTTTGGCACACGTTTAAATTGTGTCTGGAAGCACCTTGAGACTATTTATCAGCCTACATAGTAAGGCAAGGCAACTGAACCTTATTCTCTTCACTAGCAATGGTAGGGATGTGATAGCTGAGAAAGATAAGAAGAGAGGGAGAAGCACATCCAGGACACTGATGTTTTCTGATTAATATTTTTGGGCTAAATCCAGTCAACAATCCCAACTAAAAGGCACCTACTACATCAATTCCTATATAGTCAACATTGTGTTAGTGGATCTCATTCAATCAATTTCTTTAGATCTGCTCCAGTTGATAGCCTAAGTTTGTAATTTGGAAATAAGGCCAAAGGAGATGTTAATTGAAACAATAAAAGATGAGTTAGGAGGTTACTACCACAATTGACCACACCAATTTCATGTTGCTTCTGTTGATATTGCTGATATGAAGCTTGATAATATTATGTTGTGTTTCTTAGCTTACCTCATGAAGATTTTACTTTACTGCATTTTCCTTGAAACTATGGGCCACAATTTTACACAAAACCCTTGCCTGTGGAAAGTTTACACATAAATTAAAATGAGCACAACTTTCTCCCTGATATATTGACTTTTCATAGAAGAATTTGTGTTGCATTTGGAAATAACAGTAGTCATGACAATTGCACAAGGTGCTTTTGTCCTATTGTGATTTTGGACCCAAAATAGGTCAAGATTCTACATGTGTTAAGATATGATATAGTAAGGGTTTTGTTTGTTTAGCCACTTGAGGGATAACTTATAATATAAGCAAAAAACAGCCTGTGGGTACTGAGACTAAGAAATTCCTGCTGACATGGGTAGCCTTTAATGTGAGAAGCGGCTCTGTGGCCACAAGAAAACTACACATCTCTAGCTACAGGCTTCCCTCATATTCTGAGACAATGATGCAGAATTACGATGACCAAAAAGTCCCCCAGACAAACTCTGGGTCATTTGTAGTGCAGTGTGTTAATAAACAGGGTTTGGGCTATTCTCAGCCTTGTGCCATTATGTCACATTAGGCAATGACTGTTAGTTGTGTTTTGTTCTCTTCCATTGAAAGCACAGATGCTTTGAGTTTTCCATGTTCCTTTAGGGCAAAACAGCCCCCTGAATATTATCAAGAAATAATTTACTAAATTCATTGTGAACAGAAAAGAACAGAGATGCCTTGCAAGAGTTTGCTGATCTAAACAAAGCAGGGCCCTTCACCTATTTTGCCTACTTACCTGCTTGTTGGCCTCAAGCCACAGGAATAGTATGATAGGTAGGCCTCCAGTTTGCATATGAGCAGTAAATAGTTACATCTAAGATGCCAGCCTGGAAACAGCAATTGTGTTTGGCTCTTTAAGTCATTGGACTAGCATTGAGTTGATAGACTTGATACAGTATCTCATAGGCTTGGGTAACCACGGAAAAATTTGGTTGTAAACTCGTTTCGTTTTTAGGGGGGCCCTTGCGTTTTGTATTTTTAAAGAATTCCTAAATTTTCCTTTAAAAAAATTCGAAATATACGAAATTTCGTAAAATTACGAATCGATTCGTTAATGGCAGACGCGATTGCGCAATATGCTAAAAAACCCTCCAAATGGGACAGGGGGAACTTCTGAAGCTTCCCTCTCCCTCTGTTGTTGACTGTTGGTGTGATAATTTATTTTTTATCACTGATAAAACAAACAACAACTATAAAACTTGCACCAGACATACGGAAATAATAACGAAACAATTTCGAAACAATTTTAACCAATTACGAAACAATTACGAAACAATACGAAATAAATTGGAAAAATTGTTTCGATTTTTAATTACTCCTCACAGTAGTCCTGCATGGCTCAATATTGGATCGTAAGCTAATTTAAATACGAATTAATAACGAATTACGAAATTAACGAACGAAACTGCCCAAGCCTAGTATCTCATGAAAATCTTTCATTTATATATTTTTTTAAAATATATGATTTGTAAGATAATAACATGCATTTCCAAGATTTTGGGCATTTCTCATTACATCTTCGCGACACATCTACACACTGCTACCAACACACTAACGTGTCATGACATGCAGTTTGGAAAGCTCCACTATAGCTGATGATGGCACTATATTTCAGTCTTATTTATTTCACTTTATTTCTCTCCCACCTTTCTCCCTGTTTTGTGTCTTTTTAATTTGTAACTTGTTGTTGTTTTGCTTTTAATTGTATGTTGCCTGGGCTTGGCCCCATGTAAGCTGCCCCGAGTCCCCTTGGGGAGATGGAGGCGGGATAGAAAAATAAAGTTCTTCTTCTTCTTCCTCCTCCTCTTCTCTTCTTCCTCTTCTTCTTCCTCTTCCTTCACTTCTTCTTCTTCTACTTCTTCTTCTTCTCCTCCTCCTCCTCCTTCTCCTCCTCCTCCTCCTCCTCCTCCTGATAAAGGGATGCAAGGCAGCAAACAATGCATATAAAATGCAAATTAAAACAATCTAAATACATTAATGTATAAATATAAAAGCCATTTGTATAATTAAAATAATTAAAACATTTGAGTATGCAAAAAATATGCTCCCCCTTAAGTTTTGGAACTTGCAACAAATTCCTGGACTCTGAATTCTTTAATTTTGCATATGTGTATTTTGCAGCAGGACTAATTGGTGGATCTCAGGGTTCGTGTTCTAAAAAACCACAATACTACGTCTCCCAAGCTCTCCTCAGTGACAGTAATGAACTGTATGAAAAACATGATACTTTAAGAGAGTTTGCTGTTAAGATTTTCCAACTTTGTGTACTCTGAGGCTGGATCAACACTGTCATATAAGGCAGTTCAATACGTAATATGGATCTACACTGACCATACAATACCACTTAGATTCACTCTCTGACATTTTTAACTTGATTCCAGGCCATAGATATCATAGAATGGGTAAGAGCCCACCTTTATGTGCACTCGGAACCTCATTTAACCCATACGAAGATAGACATGGCTTTATAGCACCATACTTTATCAGAAATGTGTCCTGCAAGTAGTTTGCATGAGAAATATTCTATTCACAATTTAACAATGTGGGAAATGGAAATAGTAAGGAAGTCTAGAAGTGAATGGAGAGTTTTGAAAAATGCTGAAATAATTCTGAAGTTTCCGTCTCTTTATTTTAAGGTGCCTACCAATTCAAAGTCCCAGAATCTGCACCACTGGATTCACCAGTTGGAAGGATAAAGGCTAGTGATGCTGATATCGGTCCGAATGCAGCGATGGAATACAGCATCATTGAAGGGGATGGCTTAGAAATGTTTGGTGTCATCACAGACAAGGAGACACAAGAAGGCATTGTCACCGTGAAAAAGGTGCAGTTTTTCTGAAGAAGCATTCGAGTCCTTCATGTGTTTTGTAAAATGAATTTTATTTCTCACACAGTGCATGTCGCAAAGCATTTAATCATTTGTTAATCAAATATATTGTATGTTCTGCAAGGAGTATGAAGTAATAAGAAACATTTTGCCCGTTATGGATGTCTGACGAGATCCCATTCACATCATACAATTACAGCACTTTTCCCACCTAAAATGCTATTCTTGCATTCTAGAGAATTCTGGGGTTTGGAGGGAGGCATTTAGAATTATCAGCCAGAATGGAAGATTTTTCGGGCTGTATGGCTATGTTCTAGAAGCATTCGCTCCTGATGTTTCGCCTGCATCTGTGGCAGGCATCCTCAGAGGTTGTGCTTCTAGAACATGGCCATACAGCCAAAAAACTTACAACAACCCAGTGATTCTGGCCATGAAAGCCTTTGACAATACAAGAATTCTAACCTCTTCAATAAAAAATTTGCTTGGTGCCCTGTTGAATAGTACAGTGGTTTCCAACCTTTTTTTGACCAGGACACTTTTGACCAGGGACCACTTGACCAGGGACCACTCTCCAACATTAGTACCAAAATGATTGCAAATTAGGTTTTGGTCAACTTTAGTTTTGGTTTGGGATGCTGATTCAGAAAATTGCAATGGATAGACCACATCAGCTCTAGTTCCTGATACAGAGCATATGCCATGGTCAGGGACAGGAAAGGAGTGGCAGATGGTGTGAAAGGAGCAGAAATAAAATAAATAAAGAGGAAGGAGGCTCACAGACAGTACATGTGAAAAAGATATTGGAGTCCTCATGGACAGTTAAACATGAGCCAACAATGTCATGTGGCGGCAAAAAAAGCCAATGGGATTTTGGCCTGCATCAATAGGAGCATAGTGTCTAGATCTAGGGAAGTCATGCTACCCCTCTGTTCTGCTTTGGTTAGACCACACCTGGAATATTGTGTCCAATTCTGGGCACCACAATTGAAGAGAGATATTGACAAGCTGGTATGTGTCCAGAGGAGGGCGACTAAAATGATCAAGGGTCTGAAGAACAAGCCCTATGAGGAGTGGCTTAAAACAGGGCATGTTTAGCCTGAAGAAGAGAAGGCTGATATATGATAGCCATGTATAAATATGTGAGAGGAAGTCACAGGGTGGAGGGGGGCAAGCTTGTTTTCTGCTTCCCTGGAGACTAGGACACAGAACAATGGCTTCAAACTACAAGAAAGGAGATTCCATCTGAACATGAGGAAGAACTTCCTGACTGTGAGAGCCATTCAGCAGTGGATCTCTCTGCCCCGGAGTGTGGTGGAGGTTCCTTCTTTGGAAGCTTTTAAACAGAGGCTGGATGGCCATCTGTTAGGGGTACTTTGAATGCAATATTCCTGCTTCTTTGCAGGGTTTTGGACTGGATAGCCCATGAGGTCTCTTCCAACTCTTTGATTCTATGATTCTATGATTGGCAGGGGGTTGGACTGGATGACCCATGAGGTCTCTTCCAACTCTATGATTCTATGATTCACAGACCAGATTTTTATTCTTGTGGCCCACTAGTAATCTGCGGCCCACAGGTTAAGAACCACTGGCATAGTAGGCATTAGAAATAAAACACTTATACATAATATTGATGACATTGATAATACGGCATGTTATATCATATCAGAATCCTCTTTCCCCCCATATAGTACAAATAATAGTTCTGTTCATGTGCTCTCTCTCTCTCTCCAATCTCTCACCCATTTTAAAGAGCAGTGCCTTATTAGATCATGGATGGAAGTCATCTAATTATATGACACCTTTGTTGTCAGAAAGAGTAACGCTAATCTCATTTACAAGCAACCTTTCTTGCAAGCTTGATAAGGTTAGAGATATCAGCCTGCATCAATCTAAGCTTCACCAATGCAAAAGAGACATTGCAGGGATTTTCAGAGACATACTTTTTGCCTGTAGATATCACTACGATACCTGTCAGTACATGTTCATGCCAAAATGCCTCATAGGAGTCAATGGTGTTAATCAAGTCAGTTTTTTTGTTCATGTCTGGTTTTGAAAAGAATGCTTTGGTCAGGTTTCATATGAGGCAGGGAATAAAAATGGAACCAGGGTGGGCATAAGGGTTTGTGTCACTTCTTCTATACCCCCAGGTTTGCGGGATGGAGTCAAATCTAATTGCAACTACATTTGTGCTATTTCCACCATGCCTCCATTCTAAGTTCAGTCTACATGGTTTCTGTCTTTGTGAAGAAATAGTATTAGAAACTCATGGCATTTTGTAGCCTCAGTATGTTTACAAATATCAATGTTAATCATAGAGAACAATAGGCAATCCCTTCAACGGAATGGGCCAGTCTGTAAATTGTCATCAGTTTACCAGTAAGCAAAAAAGTGTCCACTTGAAGCCTTTTCCTCCATCTACAAAACTCAGATCAGTGTGTGTGTTTCATTGTAACTGCATTGCAGCTACCAACTACTTCAACCAGCCCTCAAACCAAGCCTGTAGGTTTGTGTCAGAGCTCAGCAGAGGTTGTCAATGCTTATGAAGAAAAATCTGGTAAGACATCAAAACCCATTGAGGCAAACATCTTCAGCTGCTTGGGAAAACATCAACTGACCGTTCTGGTGCTCGTTAACAAGCAATCAAGTCAAACAAACAATAGTTATCCCTTCACTTGACACAACACAATAACGTTCCTCCTATACTGCTTTACTGAATGTCACACTCCATTGCTTCTGACTCCATGTAACATCCTCAGTCGCATTTCCAATGAAAACAACCTTCTCTTTCCCCCTCTCTCTCTTCCATAAGCACATGTGCGCGCACACAACTTCTGCACAGGCAAGAATATATCCTGTTTCCTCCCTACTAGATGCTTTTAGGTGAAAAGAAAGATACCATATTTCTTATATTGTAATACATACTCTCATTTCAGTACCAACAACAAAAATATATAACACCTACAATTCTAAGACACACCCCATTTTTAGAGATATCTAGCAAAAAAAGTGTGTCTTAGAATTGAAGAAATACAATAATTCAAACTGAATTTGAAAAGAAATGTCTCATTAATGTTGAAACCACATGAGAAAGGCTTATCATCTCAAAAACACATTTTGGGGGAGTGTTCATTTTAGAAAGGTGTGAGTGATAGAATTCAACCTAATACAATTTAAAAGACAAATATCTGGATTTTCCTCCTGACTGTGAAGGCTGAATTTATTAACTCTTTCTAAAAGGTGAAAGGCTCGGTGCATCATTAAGGGTAAACCTGTTGTCCCACAATATCTTGTTATCTCAATGAAATTTCATATCTGACTCTTGACATCGAAAATTTAAACAGGAGATGGCATTAGAGCTGTCTTCATGTGTGTTCACAACTAGTGCCTGCATGATATGGATAGGGCAATTATTTTAAATGAGGTGGTTCAACTTGAGTTTGCCACAATCCCCCCCCCCCAAGCCCTCCCATTCTCAATCTATATGTTACTAGCCCTTCACCATTCCAAAACCATGAGAAGAAATAGTAAACGGGACAGACTTCTTCCCAAAACATTTAATAGCTGAGAATAAGTACCAGATGGCACCACTCCAATTCTACCCATGGAAATGAACTAAACTGATAATTCACTCGTAATTCAGCTTCATCCTGGTGATGAAGCTGAATTACTGATGCTGGGGAAACTTCAGGGCTCCAGCATATTCCTCTCCCATGTGAGGTAGGAGATTCAATTAAGAGGTACAAGTCAAGTTGTGTAGCACACACTCTTTCCCTCTCAGAATCAGCCATTGGAGATAGCTGCTATTCTTACAATTGGATGGACCCTGGTCCATCTGTCCTAGATCACATCACTCACTGGCATCCAGGGACTCAGACAAAGCTTGTTTTATTCAAGCCATAATAACTGAGCTTCTTGTAATAGAAGCGGGCTAAGGATTGAACCTGTGCCCTTCATACACTCAATGCAAGTATGCAATAGGCTTGTTTGATTTAAAAAATGGTTCAAAACTCGTTTCGGCTGTAGGGGACACTGGTGGTTCAATTCTAAAAAATATTTTTTTTCCAAAACTTTCTAAAACTTCTGAAACAACTTTGTTAATGGCAGATACACATGTGCAGTAGGAAAAACAGCACTGATGCTGGGGAAACTTCAGGGCTCTTCCACTCAGGCCACTCCTGACTGAGGGGCTCTTCCACTCCAGGCCTGCCTCAGCTGTCATTGCTGAGGAGGAGGCAGCGACGCCCCCTCAGGTGCCAATTGGCTCCCGCTGCTGGGCTTCAGCTGGGCAGCGGGCTTCAGACTGTTAGGAATAATGTGCATGGAAATCCAAAACACCTGGAGGGACCAAAGTTTGCCCAGGCCTGGATTAGATACAGCCATGCCACAGTTCAATGTTATGGGATCTTGGGGTTTGTAGTATGACACTCTTTGGCAAAGGAGGCTAAAAAACTACAGCTCCCAGGATTGTGTAGCATTGAGGCAAAGCAGTTGGAAGTGGTTCCTCGATAAAATCTGCCTGATCCACCTGGAGGAAGGGAAGCAGGAGAGGGAATGAAGGAAGAAAGGAGGGAAGGGAGGAAGGGAGGGAGGAAGAAGGAAGGAAGGAAGGAAGGAAGGAAGGAAGGAAGGAAGGAGGGAGGGAGGGAAGGAAGGGGGAGGAAGGTGAGGAAGGGAAGGAAGGTGCTTCTGACAGGTTCTCCTTCCTTCCAAAATTGGTTGCTTTAACCAATATCCCAATCAACCTTTAGTGCCACTGAGATCAGTGGGGGGGGGGGGGGGGGTGAGGAAAACTCGGTTTGAATGCAAACTCTGGAGCTCCAGCTGGTAATGCAGAAAAGGAGGAGGAGGAGCCTGCTGCTCGGCCATTTTGACAAATACGCAGCAAGGCAGGCTGGGAAATGTAGTTTAACAACAGGGCCTTTTGCAATCTCTACCATTGGGGGCCTTCCCTTCACAAACTACAACAATGGCTGTGCTTAGGCACCCACCTCATCCCTCCTTTGCATCGCCCGGGAGGGGAAGCAAAACTTTACAAAAGTTGCCTAATACTTGTGAAAATTAAAATGACCTTGGGAAAGTTCCAAACATTACAAAATATTTATGAATAAAAAGGGTAAGTGGTTCAAATCGTAATTACACCTCTTACTTTTCCTGCATGATTCAAAATTGATTCGAAAGACCAAATTCATTAGGTTTTAACGAATTTAAGGTTTTAACAAATCGAACCTAACCAACTCTAGTATGCAAGATTCACCAAGATATTACCATAGGTCAAATTCCTGTTGGCTTAAATAGTATTGCTTGCTTACCAACAATTACAAAAGACCTGTCCAAATGTCAACAGGCTCAATCTGAAATAAGATGAAGGAATGCCATAGGAACAATCTCATTATTTAAAGATGTTGATTATGATGTCCTTGAAACTGTTGTTATTTGAAAGACATCTGATACTTATCATTTGTTTGCTTCTTCTCCCTAGAAGGTAATGTCCTTTACTAGCAGGAGTGGTTTTAGTATCATCTTGGGCATGTATAACATCTTGGGCATGTATAACATACAGGAAAATTCTTTCCATGAGGCAGATGTTGCATGCAATAACAGTCCCTCCCCAATCATTTTTCTCTAGTACAATGGTCATTCCTTTCTCTTGAAAGGTAGAGCTGTGTTTCCCATGATTTCGCTTGCACTCCTTAAATTAGCCTGTTGTCCTGGGATGTGTCCTGGTTTCTGTACATGAAATGGAAAAGTGTACCATTTTGCTCCAGATTACAAAAGGTCTTGGTAAGACTCAGATTCAACAGAGATTACTAGTCATATATACAGATTTGGTAGATCTTTTGTTAACCACGTTGTTTGCCATTTATTAGGTGCCACAAAGAGGGCCCTTTCACACTACACACTTTCACACTACACACTTATGGAATGATGATTCCACTTTAAAAACTCTAGCTCCATTCTATGGAATCCTGGAATTTGCAGTTTTGAGAGGGATATCTAAGATTCCCAACCAGGAAGCCTAGTACCCCACAACCTACAAATATCAAGATTCTGTAATATGTAGTTATGGCATGGTTTAATTGTGTAGTAAAAAAAGGTCTAATATTTAGGTACACATTTACGTGGGTGAGTCAACACTTAGATACCTGTCCACTATACAGTCTACTGAGACAAAAGACAATGATAAAGAAAGTCTATGAAAGCTCTTGGGACTGTTGTGTGTGTGGGGGGGGGGCATTGTTAATGCAATCCTATGCAAGTTTACTCAGAATTAACTTCCAGAGAACTTTACTCCATGGAAAATATATCACTTTAAAGTCAAAATACTTGATAACATACTGTAAATATCTGCTTCAAATACTCCAGGATAGACTAAATGTATCTCAGAGCATCTCAGTTAAATGTTAAGTCTCTCTGGAAAACCTTTATAAGTTTTGTGTTGAACATGTACATTTTCTCTTTCCAGGCTTTGGATTTTGAGAAGAAGAGACAGTTTACTTTGAAAGTGGAGGCCAGCAATCCTCATGTGGACCCCAGATTCCTGTATTTGGGACCATTCAAAGACACAACTACTGTCAGAATTCAAGTGGAGGATGTGGATGAACCTCCTGTGTTCAGTAGGCCAGCCTATATACTCGAAGTAAAAGAAGATGTCCAGATAAATGCTGTCATAGGAACTGTGACCGCCAGAGACCCTGATAGTGCAAAGAATCCTATCAAGTAAGCACATAGACCACTCTGTCTTTTATTATTTACATGTAAACGTATTGTGATTTTTAAAAAAATGTCACTCAGTTCCTGCTATTAAAAATGTCACAGACCTACCCTGTGAGACTAATTCGGATTCTGATATAGCACAGAGAACTTAAAGCTTTCGTTAGGTGCAAACATAGTGACAAGCATTTCCTGTATTTTTCTTTTGAAATGTAAATTTAGAAAGAAGCTTATTGGATTGTAAATCAAAGAACTATCCATGAGATATTATTTAAGGAGAGCAAAACCTGAATGCAGGAGGGAATTAAAAGACTGACTGACGGTGCTTATGTCTCACTGAAATCTATGAGGCAAGAGCAAAAGATTCATTTATTGACACTCACTTCAGTACAGATGTGAAGTAGACAGATGCATTCGAAATACAGATATTTCTACTGTTATTTGACCCCCATCATACTATAAGCTATGTCACATGGCCTGTACCTGCAATGTAAACAAGTAAGGAAAGGCTGGAAGGGTTGGAAATCACAGACAATAGAAAATGCATACCTCAAGGGTATCCTATTCCCACATTGCTACTTCCACAACATGCTCTTTGGAGGTTGGCTCTGCCATTTGGCAAAGTGAATATCTGCTTTAAGAGGAAGATATCGAGAGGTCACAGGAAGGTGTTGAAAGCCGGAGATATAAGTTATGCATGTTCCTCAAAGACCAGTTTACTGTCTTTGGGTGGGAGATAATATTCCATTGTAAGTCACCACTCTGTATGTGAAATGGAAAAAATGTCAGCTTGTTCTTTGCCTCAGGACAAGCAAACTGTTTCAGGCCAGCTCTGTCCCTATGGCAGATCCTACTGTATCTTTCTGCAGTTAGCCATCTCCTCCTCCCTTCAATGGTTTTTGTTCTTCTTTTTCTTTGTTGTTTCTCTGTTTCTTTCCTAGCATTTGAGAGGAACATTTCTTTATATGAAGAACATGGACTTGGCTTGTGTTGTTTGTGCTTATGTGAATAAAATCTTTCAGTATATTAAAATTGAATTCCTGAATTTAGGTGGCAACCCTAGTGGCTGACATGTCCTTGAAGAAGTCACCCGAAAGGGGTGGCTTGGGAGATTTCTTGTGCCTTTTTGATAGTTTCCAAGACCATTCCTCCTGTGATACCTTGGAAGTTAAGACATGTCAGCAAGACACTATAGAACTAGGTGACTTCCAATAGAGTCAGCTTCTGTTAGCATCTACACACCAGGTAGTCGCCTCTTCCTTTGGCTATAACATACAAGTGCAGCAGGTGGCTGGGGTCTCCTCCTACCATTTGATGTTGCCACCAGTCATCTACTTCTGCATGAATGCATTGGATATTTCCTTGCACAAGTAGCAAAACTATCAAACCAAGTGGTTTAATATCATGCAATCCTAGCCCAATTATCTGTACTAAAATTCTATTGAATTTAGAGATACTTACTTCTGAGTAGGCATCCATCAGATTATGAGGCTAGGCCTCACTTCTGTTGAAGGAGTGATGACAAAATGATTAAGGGCCCTTCCAAACAGTTCTTTAATCTGTGACCTGTCACAAGTTTACCTGATGTGTCCACATGACACCTCAGGTAAACCCTAATTACTCCAGAAATAAAACAACTGTAAACAGAGAATAGTGAGAGGAATTAAGCAATATATTTATTTATAGTGTCAGGGGCAACCAGACAATTGTATTACATTTCTAACAGAACAAAACAAACAGACAGACAAAACACAAAGTTTGCAAGCTTGGTAGTTGATTAAATGTCCTTTTACCAGTAGCTGGCCACTTGGAGTGCTTCTGGTGTTGCCGCAAAAAGGTCCTCTATTGTGCATGTAGCAGGGCTCAGGTTGCATTGCAGGAGGTGGTCTGTAGTTTGTTCTTCTCCACACTTGCATGTCGTGGATTCCACTTTGTAGCCCCATTTCTTGAGGTTGGCTCTGCATCTCGTGGTGCCAGAGCGCAGTCTGTTCAGCGCCTTCCAAGTCGCCCAGTCTTCTGTGTGCCGAGGGGGGAGTCTCTCATTTGGTATCAGCCATTGGTTGAGGTTCTGGGTTTGAGCCTGCCACTTTTGGACTCTCGCTTGCTGAGGTGTTCCAGCGAGAGTCTCTGTAGATCTTAGAAAACTATTTCTTGATTTAAGTCGTTGACGTGCTGGCTGATACCCAAACAAGGGATGAGCTGGAGATGTCACTGCCTTCGTCCTTTCACTATTGGCTACTTCCCGGTGGATGTCAGGTGGTGCAATACTGGCTAGACAGTGTAATTTCCTCAGTGGTGTAGGGCGCAGACACCCTGTGATAATGTGGCATGTCTCATTAAGAGCCACATCTACTGTTTTAGAGTGGTGAGATGTGTTCCACACTGGGCATGCATACTCAGCAGCAGAGTAGCATAGTGCAAGGGCAGATGTCTTCACTGTGTCTGGTTGTGATCTCCAGGTTGTGCCAGTCAGCTTTCGTATGATATTGCTTATAGCACCCACTTTTTGCGTGATATTCAGGCAGTGTTTCTTGTAGGTCAGACCACGGTCCAGGGTGACTTCCAGGTATTTGGGTGCACTGCAATGCTCCAGTGGGATTCCTTCCCAGGTAATCCTCAGAGCTCAGGATGCTTGTCTGTTCTTAAGGTGAAAGGCACATGTCTGTGTTTTAGATGGATTAGGGATCAGCTAGTTTTCCCTGTAGTAGGTGGTAAGGGCACCTAGAGCTTCGGAGAGCTTCTGTTCTACCATCTCAAAGCTCCCTGCTTGAGCAGTAATGGCACGATCATCAGCATAGATGAAACCCTATGTCCCTTCTGGCAGTGGCTGATCATTTGTGTAGATGTTGAACATGGATGGAGCAAGCATGCTCCCCTGAGGCAGGCCGTTCTTCTGTTTCCGCCATCTGCTTCTCTGGCCCTGGAACTCAACAAAAAAGCTCCTGTTTTGTAGCAGGTTTCCTATGAGGCAATATGACTTGAAGTGACTGGCTTGACCTTGAAGGAGCTGGGGGTGACCACGGCCGATAGGGAGCTCTGGCATGGGCTGGTCCATGAGGTCCTGAAGAGTCAGAAGTGACTCAACAAATAAACAACAACAACATGAGATGATAGGGGGCATTTAAAATATTGGGGAAAGTATAAGAGGAGAGTTACAGCAACTGATGACATTAGCTTTCTCTAGATACATTCTCTGAAAATAAAGGAAGTGGGGAATGGTCAATGAAGGTAAAATAGGGAAGCAGAAAGCAAGATAGATGATGGTATCATCCAGTCTGCATGTCTGCCAGAAGGTGTACAACTGATGCAGTCTCCCTGAGTCTTTCCCAAGAGCTGTAAGGACACATTAGGCCTGCATGATTTTAACAGTCATCCTCCCCCCCCCACACACACACACACATACACACACCATCAGTAGTGTAAATAGTAACTCTAACTTTCCCTCTCTACTCGAGGGAGGATGCAATTAGACTGTTATATGTACTACTTGTCAGTTACTTGTCAGTTTCCCCTGACAGTTAGAAATAAAACCTTCAGACACTTGATGTTATGTTGAAAACCCTCAATTTTTTTTCCACTTGACTGTAGCTTGAAAAAGCAAACGCAAAACCTAAGCATAGAGCACTGTCAGTTTGAAAGGCCTTTGATCCCCCATTAAAGAATCCTTCATAATGTCATTATGAAAATGCTTAATGGAGAAGGGGGAGAAAGAGAATTCGCACATACATCCCCTGGCAGCCCCCAACATCTTCTTGATTTGGCGGTTGTATTCGACACAAGGACACTTTATTTAAGAATGCAATTAAGAGAAGATCTCAAAGGAGCGAGCCTTGTAAAATGAAATAAAAAATATGCCTTTGGCATGAGCAGTTTGAGTGACACATGCATTTGTCAATAGAGTATTGCCAGAGTTGCTGATTCCCCTCGCCTGCCTGGCTGCTGAATGACAGTTCAGAGGAGTAAATGCATTCAGCTCATACTGTGATGGGCGCATATCACAACATTAGATCTGACAGTTTCCAGGCCTGGCTTCAGTGAGGCTTCTTTCCTATTAAGGCCCCATGGCGGAGAAGAACTCCTGGCCTCGAAGGCACTGCTGGGTACCCTTGTATGAAACAGCAACTGCTGGAGGCTTCCCAGCACCTCTGCTCCCACACTTGCTGTGCAGTGCTGTGCAGAACATCTACACAGAAAGAAGGAATGCTACAATAAAGTGATGCTACCTTCCTGCTCACTGAGCTTGGATATGGAAATCTTATACAATGTGTATGTTTGGATACTCATACACATCTTCTTGGACATACATCCACATCCTATTTATACTCTGTTGGACAAAAGGTAATTCCAGGTGAATGTCTCCTTACATGACCAAAGAAAAGACATGGTAAAGTCATTTCCCCCTATCCCCACAGCAGTGATGGAATCCCAAAAGGAAAAATACATTGAGAGTAATGTGTTGTCAAAGGCTTTCATAGCTGGAATCACTGGGTTGCTGTGAGTTTTCCAGGCTGTATGGCCATGTTCCAGGAGCATTCTCTCTTGACGTTTCACCCACATATGTGGCAGTCTCACAACCTCTGAGGATGCCTGCCATAGATGTGGACAAAACATCAGGAGAGAATGCTTCTGGAACATGGCTATACAGCCCGGAAAACTCTAAGCAACACATTAGGAATAAAGTATTTATTTTATTTATTTATTTACCACACTTTTGTCCTGCCCTTTTCAGCCCGAAGGCAACTCAGGGTGGCATATAGACTGGCAACAATTAGATGCACGAACACACATAAACACATCATTTAAAATAAGTTAAACCACATAATAAAATTCATATAAAAAGCAATTTAAAACTATAAAAATCAGTGACATCCAGGTTTAAATCCATGTCCATTTGCATCGTTAAGCCGTTCCATATTCGTTCACAATACTGAGTTTATCTAGTTACAATGAGTTTCCAAAAGCTTGCTTGAAAAAAACAGGTTTTTACTCTTTCCTCGTGGTCAGGA